GTGCACCCATGTTTATAGCAGCACAGTTTGTAATAGCTAAAACTTGGAAATAGCCCAATTGCCCAACAACTGGAGACTGGATAAAGAAGATGTGGTTGTTTTTTTTTTTTTTAAATAAAATGGAGTACTACTCAGCCATAAAGAATGAGAAACTAGAGGCATTTATAGCTAAGTAGATGCACATTGAGGCCATACTCTTAAGTGAAATAAATAGGACAAATATGTGTAAATACCGAATAGTTTCTCTGGTATGAAAAACTAAAAGTGTAAATAAGGATCCAAATGTATAATTGATAATTAAAATAGAAAGAAAATTTCTAAAGGTGTAGGGGAAATGGGAGGGGTAGGGGAAAGGAAAGAAAGGAAAAGAAAAAAACATGAGAAAATGAAAAAATGGAAATAGTCTTTGCAAATAGGGAAAAGTGGAGGGGGTGAAGGAAGAGCAGGGGAATGAGGAAAAAATAAGAAGTAAAGTACATCATGAAAAGGTACAAGATCCCAATGATGAGTGCAACTGTACTGTACACCTAAAAGGTACCAACAAACAATAAAAATGATTTTTAAAATAACACATGCTTTCCAATAACCTTTAAGATAAAATCCAGCAGCCAACAACAAATCATCAGGTCAGCTTGGTTCAGGCAATTTGTATTGATCCCTCACATGTCTGAAAAGGCAGATATGAAAATTATTCAGAAAATTCAGGATATTTTATGATATAGCAATGATATAGAATATGCTCTTGAATAATCATGATTGCAAAATAGATGCAATCTCGATATGATAGCAAATCAATAAAGCATCTATTCCATATTTCCTTACATGCCCTTTCCTGGCATCTTAGCAGCTTCCATGAATTCTTCAAGGTTACGTCAATCACAGAGTTGATATTGCTGGAAGCTGTGTGATTTTGGCTCATTCATGAAGGAGCTTCTGCAGGCCATTGCAAGAGACCAGTGAAACTAAAATACTACTAATAAGGTATCACAGAACCATGAACCTGTTTGACTCTGTAAAAATCACTGGAAATGCCAAATATTTTGACAGCAAAATTGGTATCAGTGGAGCCACTGCTCTGTCTGCCTCTGCAGTAAATACCTTGAAGGACAAAAAGACATATGAAGTATGTAGTAAGGGAGATTACTGGCCAGGAGTGTAAGACAAAAATTAAACACATATAATAATCAGAGAGCCAAGAATAACAGTGATAATTAATCGTTCAATGTTTCCCATGGTTCAGGAGCATATATATAACCCTTGAGAAAATATGTACACTCATAGGGTATGAGACATTTCTATATATCAAGAAGTTTCAAAGGTAACATCACTTCTTTTCTTAAATCTTTTTTTTTTTTTTTTTTTTTGGTACTGGGGATTGAACTCAGGTCCTTGTGCTTGTGAGGCAAGCAGCAGAACCACTGAGCTAAATCCCTGGCCCTTGTAACATCACTTCTAAAGAGTTTATTTATGTCTGAGAATTTATTTTACTCCAAATGAATCAGTTTTATTATCACCTGAGGAACTGTTGGAAGCAAATAGTCCTTAGAAGTGAGTCCAATAAAAAGAGTGAATTGACGAATTTTTCAGGCCCTTTAGCACAGTTGTTCTGCTTTTATCATATGTGATCAACGGGTCTCATAAGACCATGCTCCAAATCACTCCCTGTATGGCAAACCATACATTTTTTGGATATTGAGGCAAAGAAAAGCAATCTCTCTGTGAGGTTGCCCCAATATCCAAAAATGTCAGGTAGGTTATTTTCCCCCAGTATCAGACAGCATATATATGTGTGTGTGCGTGTGTGTGTGTGTGTGTGTGTGTGTGAGATATTTGTCTTTTCATGAATGCTTTGTTTATTTCCACAACGTGCTTAGTGAATGTGCCTAAAATACAGGCATTCTTCCCTTAAGGACCAAGTTACAGTCCCTAGGCTAGGTCGTTAAATGAATTGGTTGATTAATGAGGAATTGTATATAGTACATACATTACAATATTCAGAACAAAGAAATGGTCAAAAGAAACTCCAACTTGGTGACTTTGCTTTTCTTTGCATAACTCTTACATGCAGTACTGTAATGTATAACAGAACGTAAAACTACAGTACTTCACTGTACAGTAGAAGCAGCAAAATTACGGTACTGTGTAAACAAGATCCACAGTACCCAAAAAGAGGACATTGAGACTCTATCAATAACACGTATAGAATTGTACCAAAAAAAAAAGGACAGGCAAGTCTGAGTGGAGCGTCACAAGTCTGAACAGTGCACCTTGGTTCTGAAACCCGAACAGTCATTTAACAGGTAGGTCGTTGAACGGGGAATACTTGTACACGTACTTAACCTCCAGTTTAAGATATAGAACACTTGTGTGTTCTCTCCTTTTTATAATCATTTCCCTTTAACTTTTACCTTGATTTCCATCGTCATGGCTTTCCATGTTCCAGAATTTCATACAAAAGGACTCGCGCAGTATATATGGAGTTGATACTCCCATTGTCCTAAGAGGAATTAGTAAGCAACTGAAGACTTTAAAGAAGGAAATTGTCATGATCTGGTCTGTATTTGTAATCAGCCTTTTTGGCTAGCGTGTGAAGAACGATGAACAAATGATCATGTGCCTCTTAGTATTCTTTTTCTTCTCATCTTCTCAGTCAGGGGTATATGAAATAATAGCATATTTAGGCAAACCAGAAAAATCTAGATTTCCAGGCTGGCTTCAAAGGTGCATTGCAAAGCTGGATTTAGAGACCCATTGATGGTGGCGGGGGGGGGGGGGGGGTTGTTGCCAGAACTGTTACTGCGATTCCGGCTGTGCACAGCAGATGGCCCCAGAGCCCGGTTGCTGGCGGGCCTGGCCGAAATGGTCAGTTGCACACTGAGCCGGGCGCCGCCTGGCGGCTCCTTACGGCGATTCCTGCAGGAGCGCAGCTCGTCGCGCCTCGATGCCGGTGGGCGCTCAAATTGGGCAACCCCGAAGATTCGCCAGGAATGTAGCTCTACAGCTTCCGCTATACCTAGAGCCAGCACGGCCCCTGTGCTCTCCTTTGACTCTCAGCAGAGGCATCTTCGGCCCGGAGAGGCCACAGTTGTGCAAGACACTGGTCTCCCCACACAGTGCACTCCGCGGGGACTTGGTGTGGAGGTAGTGCGCGCGGGTGGGTCCCGGGACGGCAGCGCTTGTAGTAGGCTCAGAAAGTGGAAAGGCAAGGGGGGCTGGGGGGGAGGGGTTTCCACAGGAGAGTTTTGGGGGGTGGGGCGCAGTCATAGGAAGAACGCGTGAGGCCGCCGCCGGACCGGCGCTGGGTGTCTGAGAACAGACCGAGCGCGCCCCGTGGCTCCGGCCAAGGAGAGTGAGGAAAGTAGGCTTGTTTGCGTGGAAAGTTGCCTAGGGAAGCGGAGCACTTGAGAACCTCTTCTCCCTCTCCAGCCTCCGCTCCGGTGGTGAGGTCACAGCCTTCGGAGCCCTGCCTCCTCGCGCCCCTCCCCTGCCGTCTGCTTCAGCCCGGGGAAACAGCAGGCGCAGAGGCGGAGAATGAGGCCACAGTGCGGGATGGACAAGTAGCCCTGGGGGCTTTGGAAAATGAGGCCAGAGTTGACGCTGCGGCTAGCACTGCTGCTCACCCTGCCCGGGAGCCTGGTGGGGAAGGAGTGTCCGTCTCCACCCTGCCAATGCCACCAGGAGGACGACTTCAGAGTCACCTGCAAGGATATCCACCTCATCCCCAGCCTGCCGCCCGGTACAGAGACGCTGTGAGTACCCGGGAGAGGAGAGCGGGGAGGATCAGGGGCCGAGGGCATCTGGAAAGGTGGACGGAAGCGCACGGAGAAGTTGGAGCAGAGCCCAGAGGAGGTGTGTGCGCATGTGTTCACAGTCTGTGAGTAAACAGTCTTCCACACTTGGGAAGATACTATTGTGGACATTCACGTGATGTGTAACACACAGTAACAAAACTTGGTGCAAGATAACTGTGAAGTGTCCTTTCTAAAGAACTACCGTTTTGCACTTTGCCTACTCATGGCTCTTACAGGTCCCCTTGCCTCCCATTTCCCATTCTGTCCCCCTGCCTAAAGCACTCTTTCTTTTCTTCGTCCGCTAATGCCTTTTCCAAGATCCAGATGTGTCTGTCGGTTCCTGCAGAAGTCTTTTCTCACCCACTACCCCTAGGCTGGGTGAACTATCCTCTTTCCTAACAATCTGGCCACGAACAGGTCCCTAGCCCTTACACCCTGTCTGTGCGCTTTCCTGTGACTTGTTTTGTTGCATGACTACCTGAGCAGAAATGAGTTCCTCTAACACAGGGACACTGTCCTTCAACCCTGAATTCCTCAAACCCAGCACAGGACCTAGAACTACTTTGCTCTTCAAAAAAAAAAAAAAAAAAAAAGCTTAAGTAAACGAATGAGCAAATGAATATGATGAATATGTTGGTCTCAGATTGTCCACAGTGTGGACAGTGCATGAAAGAAGCCCCAAGACATTCCTTCTTCAGAGAGTTATCGGTGGTAGAAACTCAAGAGTCATTGAAGAGAAATGTGGCTCTGAGAGTACAAAGGAACTGATCATCCTATTTACAATTCCGACTAATGTTGGGAACAGGGAATGGCAAAGAGTAAGCAATGGAACAGCAGCAGGAAACCTGCATTCTCCATTCTCTTCATTACCTCTCTCATTAACTGTGAAACTGGATGAGATCATTTATTTAGAAGGAGTCAGTTTTTCTTCTGATAGAAGGTTCAGTTTGAAGCTTTTTGATATCCTGATGCTAACGAATATCATCTGAGGAAAACCACTAAATCAGAGTGACAACAAAAGTAGCCACTAGAAGGCTCTGAGATAGGAGAAAGAAAATTGATGAAAAGCATAGTTAAATGATATGCTCATTTAGCAGTGACTACAACTAAAGGATATTCTTACCCGAGATTTACGTTATTCCTTATGTAATCCTTTTTAGTTTTTGAGGAGCCCCCCCTGGTTTAAACTGTGAAGCCTTCCACTCTTATAGAGTTATTTGCCTTATATCGGTATCCTATATCAAGATGCTATATAATCATGGCCTGACCGTTTTGTAAATCATTACAATGCGGAGAACAATTTCCCCAAGCTTTGTCTTCTACCCGCTTATTATGGTGTCAGAAGGTCATTAGGCCTCCTCTTTCTTTACTACATTTGTCCTTTGATGTTATGGATGCTGGGAGAGAACTACACTGTTTGTGGTAATCAGTGAGGAGGTGGTTCTGAATCTTTCCTCTCTGGGCCCTTCCCAGAGGCCTAGCACACTCTCATTACAACAGTGGCTTTAACTGGGTGGGAGGTGAGGGTGAGCTGGTATGCCTACTTCCCAGTAGAACATTCTACAATCTTTGATACACAGGAAGTCTGAAAAAAATGACTCCTCCCAGTTGAGAATTACTGATTTAAGGGGGTTGAAATGAGGCAAGACAATACATTTGAATCTTGGCATGTAATTATAGATCATATTACTTCAATACCAAAGTTAGAAGATTGATTCAGCACTCTCTTATTTAGAAAGTTACCTCCTTACATAAGAGGACCATCCCTTCTCTGAATGAGAAAGTGGATGGATTTGGGTAGACGTTCTGGGTTTGTATGGATTCTTCCTCAAGAAAGTGCTGGGTGAATCAGGAGTAGTGGCCCATGCCTGTAATCTCGGCACTCTGGGTAGCTAAGGCATGAGAATTGCAAGTTTGAGCCCTGGCTGGGCAATTTAGTGACATAGTGAGATTTTGTCTCAGAATTAAAAAGGGCCGGAGATGTGGCTCATTGCAAAGGCCCTGAAAAAAAGGAAGTAAAAGGCGGAGGGGAGGGCAGAAGAAGAGGAGGAAGAGGGCTGGGAATTTAGCTCAGTGGCACTGCTGACACACTTTGCCTTGTCCTTTTAACCTTCCTGCCCGCAGTTTCCTGCATTTACTGCATTGAATCCTCAAACCCTAAGCATGCAGTAAATGCTTGCAGCAACACATGCTTATATGCTGTTGTATGTTGATGTTGCTGTTGTAGTTTTGAGGTTTTGTTTTTAGTTATTTGCATTTTGTATGTGGTACTCTAAAAGATGGACTATCCCACTTGCTTTTCCCCAAGTACTGGTGATTGAACCCAAGGCTTTACACACAATAATCAAGCCTTCTGCCACTTACTTACATCCCCAGCCCACTGTTTTCTAAACTGGACATTCACTTGTCATCTTTGGGAATTTTTCCCTGTGTTTCATCTACACTGTTTGTTAGTTTGTTTATGGTTTTTTTTTTTTTTGGTACCAGGGATCGAACTCAGATCCTTGTGCTTGCTCAGCAGGAGGTGAAACCACTGAGCTAAATCCCCGGCCCTCATCTACACTGTTATACACTCAGTATGTTTAAGTATTGTCATAACCATGACTTTTGGGTGACATTTATCTAAACCATAACATAAGTCTGTTTGAATAAGCCAGAAACGTGACTCAAAGAGGAAACAAGAATGTCCATAGTGGTAGGCACTGTCAGAGGCACTATTGTGTGTGTTTTAAGAGTCCACCCTCAGCAATCGGATCAGCTCCACTGAAGCCCAAATCCATAATGTCCAGTCCTTTCCATCTGTGTGAACAAACCCTAGCTACTCTGGGGTCCAAGTCTTAGGATTTTTAATAAATCTTGTCTGATGTAATGCTTCATTTATCAAAAGAGTTTTCTTTTTAAATTTATTCAGATCATAGGAATCGCTACCTTGAATTTATCTGACTACTGGTATATGTTTCCTGGTTATACAGATATGGCAGTTATCCTTCAGATTAAATTTTATTAACTGCTGTACTTCTGGGAATCTGTTATTATGTGAAAATTTGTGGATACATATATCATTGCATTTCTTAGATTTTCAAGGTGTCCTTGACCACTCCTCCCTCAAAAATTAAGAAATTCTGCATTGTAACAATTTGGCATTTTTGTGTGGCTGTAAGTGTACATTTGGTGATCGCTATGACTTGATTTATTTTATTACAAAGAACACAACATATTTTTAAAGTAAGCAAAAGCTGCCTGACCTTTAAAAGTGATAGTTTCCCTTCAGAATATATTATTAAGATGATTACTTTCTTTATGCTGTACATTTAGCCTATCACTTAAGGAGACTTTTTACATGGAAGTTTATCAAATATGGCCATTCTTCAAGTTAATAATTTAAAGACACCTTTTACAAATGGTTAATGCATCACGTCTGACATTAAATCCTTTATACTGCTTCTATTTTTACTGAAGATTATTGATATACTTAACTACCTATTGCTTTTCATTACTGCTATGAAAAATAGAAAAAAAATTAACTAGTGGCAAAATGGTCCCTTTATTCAAAATTACAGACTGAATTTGAAGTGTTCCATTTAGATGTCAGACTCTACTTTGTTTTGTTGCTGTACAAATTCTTAAGAACAGAGTGTTCCAGAATTTTTCAAATAAAATTCTTTAAGTTTCAAAGCAGCCACTTGTGATTTTGAAAGCATCCTGTAAATATTGTTCCCTTTCATGTGGTAACATGTATATATCCCCTGGGGTTTTCTGGTACAGTCTTATTAAAGTTATTTTGTCATCGGGAGAATATGCCAGAATTCAAATATTTCATCATCAACTTAAAGTGAACTTCCCACATCGCTTTGGAAAGAACTCCATTGATTGAAATTTTTCTTTCAGGAAACGGGATCTTGTCACCAGGCCTGGGTCTGAGAGGTTCCCGAGGCTGAAATAAGGAACTTATCCTACCCCTTTAAAATATGTTTTCAGATTCACTGATTCTTGTCATGGAAAAAGACTTTTCAGAACACATCAGTAAGAGGCAAGAGAAGGGTTTATTAGAAAGAGATATACGAGGCCCTCAAGAGCAGAGTGTGAGTGCTCAGAGAGATGAGGCACAGTACATTTGGGAACTGGAAATCTTTTATGGGTTTTGGGTGGTGGAAATCTGTAGAATTGATAATCGATAGTCTTAGTCATATCTAGTGTATGCGAGAGGATGGCCCACCCGCAGTGACATACTGCTCGTTTCACATGGGAAATCCCATAAGGTGGTTTATTCACAGGTGAATGAGGACATTTGAAGGAAAAAGGAAAAACGCAAACCCATTTGTAGGTGGAGGGTAGTTGCTCTGGCTTACTGTGTTTTGGGAGAAGACAAGGAAAAGAAAAACTGGGTTTGTGTCCTGAAGCTGCAGCTTTTCTTAAAAGTACAGAAGAGAAGATAGAAGAGAAGGAAAAGAAAGACTAGGTTTGTGTCCTGCAGTTTCAGGACACAAACCCAGTTTTTCTTAAAAGTACAGTTTTAAAATCTCGATTTCCTTGTCTCCTTTCTACCTAGCTTGTATTTCTTCTATCCTACCTCAGTCTCTATTTATATGGTACATTAAACTTTCAGCCTGTATTTTGCAGGCATTAGCTTAACATCATTCATGCCCAATTACTCATCTCCAGAGAGGAGGATGAATTGGTTTCTTCTTGTTGCTGCAGACTGTTACTTTGTATTTTGTTATTTCAATCTGTTTGTGAGCTGGGAAACTAAGTCTATCTTGGGAGAAAGCCTCTGCATATGGGATTTAAGGACAGATAAAATGAGGGACTCTCATGGGAGGAAGACTTTCCTGGGCTTTCTGACTGGTGTCTCCATCTCATCAGCCTTTCCAGGTATTTATGGGTTTATGGACATGGTCCAAAGATTTGAGATGACTAGAAATTCTATCTCTGGATAACTAGTATTTTATGGCAATTAA